AGAAAACGACAGCAAAGATTGGAAGACATACGGGACGATTTGGAAGGCGACGAGTGGGTCGAAGCCACGAAAAGATACCACGCAGAGCTGTCGGAACAAAGGCAGTCCATCCTGCGGCAAAAGGAAGAAGACAGGAAAGCCATAGAAAAAGAGTTGGAAAAATATAGGAAACTATTGGATAGAATTTCCAGAAGGACAGACAATCTGCGTAGATTGTTCTTTGGAGAGGAAAGCCCGTTTGGCCCAGAGACGCCTAGGGCCAAAGTGCATAGGATGGACCAAATACCTGCAGGAGACTACAAGATACTAGGATACGCGATCCCCAGAGACTTGGATGCCAACTGGTTGGCAAGAGGGCACCGCGTAGTATTGCGAAGGAATAGAGAAACTTCTGTAGCATGGGCCACAGAAGCCCTATTGGAAGCGTGTGCGGCTGGAAAGTTCGAAGCAAACGGCAACATACGCACTGCCATACCAGGAGAAGAAATATTGGTGGAGTGGCAGAACAACATAGCCACTGTCTTCGTGCCCGAAGGACCTGGTTTGGATACGTACTACGAATTGGTTAGGAAAATAGAACATCCCAAACACCCGGAAAGACTACTAGAAGTGCCTGCGCCACCCAACAAAGAATGCGTGCATGCGCTACATATGCATCCAGGCGAATACCAATGCTGGAAATACGCCAAAACCACCTACAGAAAAAAAGAAAGGACAATCCTATTCCTTTCCGAAAAATGCTCGGAGTGCGTTTTGGAGGGCTGTACGGTAGAACATGCTACTACTCCGGTTTGGGGACACTTTCTGGACGAGCAAAAGATAGACTGGACATCGCAGCCACCGCTATACTGCAAAATTGGTAGAGAAAAGACTACCAAAGCAAAGAAGAAAGACAGACTGGTGCACGTCTCTACTCCGGAATCCTAGGCCTGCAAAGGGCGTTCGCCTCTACTCCATCTCCGGAATCCTAGAATTTCTCTGCGGCTCCGTTGGATGTCTGTAGTAGACAACTTTGGGTGGCTTGCTGTGTGCCCAAACGACGGCAGCTATTCCTACGACTGCAAATAGCACATTGCTAGCTATTTGCCAGTCTATTTTTGTGGATACTTCCTCCACTTCGCCCTCCATTTCTTCGAAGGAATCTTCTTCGGGTTCCTCTTCCTGCTCCATTTTGGCTAGTAGTTCCTCCTTTGCGTCTCGGAGTTCTTCTCTAGCTTTTTGGAGATCGTCGAGGACTATAGCAAAGGAATCCTGCACCTCTAGGAAATGTTTCTGCAGGTCTGTAGTTGGAGGCTTCTCGGGGATTGCTACCTCCAGACCATTCTCTCGCTCTATCCTACGAATCTTTGGTATTCCTATGCCGTACTTTTTGGCTGCCTTTTGCAGTCCTACTCCATTTCTCCTATCTTCCAACAATCCTGCGATTTCTTCCTCGGATAGTATTTTGGGTGTTGCCATATATATCTACGAATACGGTTCGAACATAGCTAGGTACCTATGGATCCATAGGGGTATTCCGTGGGTCCATAGGATATAGACATGTATCTCTACATAGCTGCGGGTATGGTCGCATACGTGCTAGGAAAACAAAGAACTACGCAAATACTTTTGGAGATCTTGGAAGGTCTCTACCGAGCGCAAAAGACTTTGCAAGGAATTCGCATACCAGGCTACATAGCCACTTTGGCGCAACTACCACGAAATAGATAGAGAATGTCGAAGGTTTTGGGCTACTACTATGGATTTTCCAAAAGGTAGCGGTGTCATGCCGCGCCCTTGCTACCAGCGCAGAGGACACAAAAAAATACTACTTTGTGCCTACGAGGAAAGCCTGTGTGGGAGTAGAAAAGGTTGCCGAAAATGGTTGCCGAAACGATGGGCAAAAATATACTCTTCTAAAGGATATCTTAACCTCCATTTACGGTACCCATCGTTTCGACAACTAGCAGCAGTAAGGGAATCAGCGCGCGGGTAATACCCGACTCGGACGCTGTTACGTGAGCACGGGGAATATCCGTGTAATTCCGAGGGGTGACCGCGAGTCCCCCTTACTGCTGCTAAAAAACATATCTGGTACAAAGTAAATAGCAAAACGTTTAAATTCTAAAGCAAATATGAAACTGTTCTTTAGAAAATAACGAAATAAGCAACCAAAATCAGTGGTCAATGAAGTCTTATAAACTTAGTTTGTCAAAGCGGAGGGCTGCCTTCGTCTCGACGATTCAAACACACGCTTGATGCGTCATGAAGCTACGTGTTGACTCTGTTGATTTAAATGAGTTATCGGTGAAAGTCGGCGACTTGTTTAAGTTTTTATTGTCATGTCAAACTGTCCTCATTGAAAAATTGCTCCACTGAATGGACCTGCTGCAGGGAAACTAGAACTTTTCATGAATGAAGATTCACGGCACTCGGTGCCCACTGCACTTTGTAAACTGGCCTTTTTTCTATAGACGTACTTGTTGTATTTCCACTCAGAATCAAAGACATGTTTTTCTGTTGTTAGTTTGAGATAGTACTGCAATTCACTGTTATATTCATTAAGCTCTTCTGGCGGGATTTTCTCGAATCTTCTCGTTTCATTTTTGGAGTTGAGAAATTCAGTCAGCAAACTTGCATCTCTTCGTCTTTTGACAGAGTACTTCTGTTTTTTGTTTTTTGTTCTTCGATAAACTTGTCTATAGGTTTGTCTAGAGACACAAATCTTCTTGATTGTTCAGCCATCCTCACAAATATCTCCTAGCTCTTGATTAGRTAAGTTTAATTTGAACTACGAACGACTACAATACACTGAAAGTATTTGAAAGCTGCTCGACAAAGCTACCCGCGATGACCGCGAAAACATGATTCGCTTCGACAGTGGTTTGCGATTGGACGAAACGCTTTTTTCACGTGTGACAAATCGTTTCACTTTTCTGATTGGCTAAAAAAAGTCGCGAACTTGTTTTTCAAACAGGGAAATTTGATAAGAAAATCTCAGTATGTATAAAATAAAGTTAAATTGTGAATGTGCACTCATTCATGACTGTAATGAATGGAAGTTACGAAAAGTTAATTGAAAATGTGTTCTCACTCATTACTGTAGTGAATGGAAGTTACGAAAAGTTAAATTGTGAATGTGTTCTCACTCATGACTGTAGTCAACAAAAGTTACGAAAAGTTAAATTGTGAATGTGTTCTCACTCATGACTGTAGTGAACGGAAGTTATGAAAAGTTAGATTGTGAATGTGTTCTCACTCATGACTGTAATGAATGGAAGTTACGAAAAGTTAAATTGTGAATGTGTTTTCACTCATGACTGTAGTGAATGGAAGTTACGAAAAGTTAAATTGCAAATGTGTTTTTACTCATGACTGCAGTGAATGAAAATTATGCGAAGTTCAATTTGCCAATGTTTTTTCCTCGATTGGGGAGAGTAACTCCTATGGTCCATTCTTTTTCTGGATTGGATTGTAGACATTCCGTTTCGGGTGTGTGCGGTTGCTCTCTCCTGTTCGGGGTCCCCATCCTTAGTGTGTTGTTGGTTTAGGAGCTGTCTTTTCTATTTTATCATTGGTTCGTGGTGCAAAGAAGAGAAAGCATGAACTATGTAGTGTGTTTTCTTTCCCTTCGTGGGAGAAAGTGGATAAAAAAATTCAGTGACAAATTAAAATCTAGTTGGGTCTCATTCGCTTCAAGCTGGATATCCATGGATGGGGTCCCCGTCCAGGAGGGAGATCTAACCGATTTGCCTACTATAAGTGAGATATTATTTTGGAAAAGCTATAATTTCGTGTCCCTGATAGATGTTTTCTTTGGTTAACATGGTTTGTGTCCGGTTTAAGAGGAGTGATTATACAGTTGGTACTACATCTGTTCTTGGGTTGTTAGGAGATAAGGTTTGGAGAGAGTGAAATAAAGTAATGTGTAGATTATGCATGATGGTGTTCCGATTCTTTGTGTTGGTTGGAGCAGGGAGGAGTGCGCATCCATATCTCATTAATGACAATGATTAATGCAGAATAATATACTATCACATATCAAACTTTCGCTGAATTTCTTGACTTTCAGAAAACAATTACTTGACCTTTCAAACCAAACAATTCGGATATCTGTCTTTAATTTACTTTTGGTAATTATTGAAGCAAGAGGACGTAATTTACTGGAAAGAAATTTGTCAAGAAAAATAGTATATTATTCTGCCTTATTCATTGTCATTAATGAGATATAGATGCGCACACCGACCGGAAACGAATCCAGCACGAAGTGCTAAGGATGTGCCAGGGTCGACATGAACGCGGCTCAAACAGGGTGGGTGGGTGGGTGCCACACATAGTTTGGCTATCTTGTTCAACCATGCCAAAGCACGCGTCCTTTACTTAAATATCAGTTCCCAACCAATGAGCAACCCCTTCAATCCTCCAGGGACTGGAAAGTACGTGGGAATGCTATTAATTATTATAATTGCGGCAGAATATTAATATCCAATGACTTTGCATAGCAGCGGCCATTTCGAATTAAACGTAAAATTCCAAATATGGTATCAAATCCGAGAAACTAAAAAAGAAACTTACGAGGTTCGGGATATTGGCATCGGTCATGACTCGGGAATTGCCATCTTCAATGTCCGGGATGTGGGATTTTGCTTTCTGATTTTCGGGGAAAACGTGAAAACATTAATTAATAAAATAAATATTCAAATGCCTTTGAATATGTTCAATGTTAAAAAAGATATATAGCAAAATGTCGCGGGATTTTGGGGAAAATAGTGCGTGATTCGGGATCAGGACCCCTCTTGAAAATGCTGTTAGAGTGTTACACTTTGAGTTCAAAGTAACTTAGTTCTTAAACTGCGAGGGACCCGAATTCCTGTTTTGGGATTCCTGTGGACGCTCACGGGGATTAGAGCGGCTCCAATCAACGCGCGTCCACAGGAATTCCAAAACACTCGCAGGACCGCTCACATTCTATTTAGCTCTATTTCGACCTTTCCTTCAAAAAAAACGGACCTACAGTTTTAATTTGCTCTCGTTTTTTATTTACGCCTTACATTTACAGCTTACTGGGTAGGCATTTCCATCTGGGAAGGTGACCTTTACTGGCGCACACAATCTCCTTCCATACTTTGGAATGCTTGACGCGCATCCTTGTAAAACTTCAATATGACAGCTGACAATGTGTATCCCAATGAGCTGCCCCTGAGCAAGTATAAATTTAGCATAATGCCTGTGCACGCAAGCATGGTCTTGTCTTTTGGACAACTTCACAGGCTTCAAATCTTCATCAACGAAAATGGCATCTTTCTTCTTTGTTTCTAAATTAGGAGACATTGGCAAGATTTCATCTAGCGCCTCGTCTTCATGTTGAGGCAAAGAAGATATATTTGCAACAAACTATTGAAGAAAAAAGTTCAAATAAAATCAGATAAATGGTTTATGAAAAAAAAATGTCATTTAATATTTATCAGGAACTCAAGGGAATCGAGCGGTGGTGCTCAACCTCTAGGTCAGAGCACTCATTAGGTAGGGCGGGAAAACGACTAGTCACTGTCTTGTTCGACGTGTAATGAGGAGGGAGACTGAAAACTAGTATCCCCTATTCTAGTTCCGTTAGGCTGCTACCATGCGTTTTCCTTTTTTTAAATTGAGACTAAGGTTTGATGTTTAAATCCGTATTAAAACCCTTTACTGATAAAACACGAAATAGAATTGCTCTTTTCAAAGTGTTTTTATATCGGTACACCAAAGACATTATACCCGTGAAACGAAATCAAATTAGCTAAATCTAAATTTATTCAGATAAAGCCCTTGAATTCTAATCGTAATGAGCGGGAAATATGGTAAATAAATCTTACCAATAAGAAAAAAAACCATGTCAAAATTGAACTAAAAAGGGTTATTTCAAGATCCGAATACTCTTTTGCTTTTTTTTATTCTAATTGTTTTGACATTTGAATATGATTGTGGTAGAATAGGTATTACGAAACATTATAGGGTTAGGGTACGGTGGCCCACAACTGTCACGGCAAAACAAAAAAACTCACGGCAAAATAAAAAAACTCACGGCAAAAATCACAAAACTCACGGCAAAACAAAAAAACTCACGGCAAAAATCACAAAACTCACGGCAAAACAAAAAATCTCACGGCAAAAATTACAAAACTCACGGCAAAACAAAAAAACTCACGGCAAAATAAAAAAACTCACGGCAAAAATCACAAAACTCACGGCAAAACAAAAAAACTCACGGCAAAAATTACAAAACTCACGGCAAAACAAAAAAACTCACGGCAAAATAAAAAAACTCACGGCAAAAYAAAAAAACTCACGGCAAAATAAAAAAACTCACGGCAAAACAAAAAAACTCACGGCAAAATAAAAAAATTCACGGCAAAACCAAAAAACTCACGGCAAAACAAAAAAACTCACGGCAAAATAAAAAGACTCACGGCAAAATAAAAAAACTCACGGCAAGAATTACAAAACAAAAGTGGTCAGCGGATGCAGCGAGTCAGCGGTAGTTCCAATAAACACGGTCACTGGAATCGCACGTGCGTGTGTTGGTGTGCTGCTTCGCCGGTGGTTTATCACTGATTTATAGCTCCAACTGCTGAGAAATTATTTACTGATATTTTGCTCTCAGTGCGGCTGTACTGTTAACCTTGAAGACAAGTTTTGTGCCAGCTGCGGAAAAGGTAAGGTATTCTTTTATTGTGGAAGATCTTGTATAAAGGCAGCTTGTGTGTTCAGGTTGTTGGTTAACTATGGTGTGTATTTTCCCTTTAAATTTATTGTATATAAGCTTATATGTTCGCTGAGCTTGATTTCTCGAAGAATCTTACCCCTCGAGATTAAAGATTTCAAACGGTTATTATTACACTTGTCATTTTCGAGCTTGTTAGTTGCCTTCCGAACACTTGACAGGCACCAAATAGTGGGTTCATTTTTTTTTGGCATTTGACGCTGACTGCCTTATATAAAATCAGCCAAAAAATATTATTTACACACTGTAAGCTCGTTCATCAAATATAAGAGATAAATTACGAACTACTTTTCATAGAACCCTTCTACTGGGAAGAGTAGTAAATGCTGACGATAATGACCTTTAACTACCGCCTATTAGATTAGATAGAAGTTAGAGACTTTAAGCTTGTGGGGATCATAAAGATTCTTCAGTGAAAAACAATCGATTTTGCTAAACGTTACGATGAATCCAACTGACACTAAAATATAGATACGGCCTATGCTCTCTTGATACGACTTCAATTATCACTCGTTATTTTTAAAATCTTTTCACTATCCAAACTCACCAGGCAAAGCAAAAGTAGAAGAGCTTTCAAGTAMATTTCKTCAAAATTGGTCTGCTTTAGACTACACTTTTGCAATATAGCGGTTGGAAAAACCTAGAACAATAAAAAGAAGCTAAACAAAGATCGTTAGTAGTTAAGTTTTCTATATTGAAGCTTATGAAAAGCATGATCAAATAAACAGAAGCTATGTCGAATAGTTGACTAAAGAAACTTCCAAAAAGGACTGAATTATGTTTTTCTAAGGCCGAGCCTTAAGGGCAGTTTTGCCTCTATTTGGTCGAATGGAAAAAGAATTTCTAAATGTGAAAAAAAAGGACTTTCAGTCCAAAGTATATCATAATATAACATTAAAATGATAATAATAACAATAATAATAATAATAACAACAATAACAACACTAATAATAATAATAATAATTTTGTAAGCAAAACTGAAGCAAATTGTAAGTAAAGATGATGATAATAAAAATTTTTTTTTTTTTAGAGTTTCTATTAATAATATTAATAATAATAATAATAATAACCAAGAAAAGTGTAGAACTGAGAAGGGAAGTAAAGTGCATGAGAAGGAAAGGAAAACTGAGGAAAACGGAATGAAAGGAAAATGAGCCGAAAAAATATGTGAAAACAATGAAGGGAAAGAGAGAATGATAGGAAAGGGAGGGAGGAAGGAAGAAGCCAAAATTATCTTTACCTTGAACAGTAGTAGCTCCCTCGTAGTAGCTGATCTTGCAAGGAAAATCGATAAAACGATGCTCAAAAGCAACGCTATAAATAGCTGACTTTTCAAACAAGATCTTTAAGCTTTAAGCTATTAAGCGGTGTTTACTGAATGAGAAAAAGAACACTCGTAATATAGGTTCCATATCTGCTCTCTTWACACCTTGCGGTGAAAAGAAACAACTCAAATTCTTTCTCGATCTATTCACGATTTATTTCCAAGCTACACGTCCATACAAGCAAAATTTTACGGCGGCATTGGCCGAGTAAAACACGATGCCAATTTTTTCCCTGCCGGCTTATTTTAGAAAGCAAAAGGATGTTAAACAACGGCATTTTCAGACCACTCATAAAATCTCGTTTATGTTGAGTGCTTTTGAAAGTATTTTAGACATCTGCCTTATATCGTAAGGAATTGAATGCGAAAGCCTAACATCTAGTCTTGAGAATGATTTTAATTGTAAATTTGGTCTGGATGACTTAGGCTAGGTCGTGGAGCTTTCTCGTTGACAACATCATGCATTCAATTCGTGGTTAAAAGAAGGAATCTTGTGTTGACAAAGAAGATGAGTCTAAGTGTGGAGTAAAATTTTATTACAGTATTAAAAGTGATTACAGTAAGATGCTTGCTCCCAGGAGATGATTAACGTCGAATATAGCGTTAGGGACCGGTCATTATTTATAAGAGTGGGGCATTGAGGGGGAACAGATGTGTATTTTTGAAGTACGAAGGGGGGGTTATGAAGAGAATTCTTGTCATGTGGGGGGGGGGGGGGGGCTAAGTATTGTGTGAAGAGCCTCATTGCATGCTATGATCAAACAAGTTTACTGATTCCATCATTTTCACCTTTAAGCTCAGTATTGTGTGAAGTATTGTGTGAAGAGCCTCATTGCATGCTATGATCAAACAAGTTTACTGATTCCATCATTTTCAACTATAAGCTCAGTATTGTGTGAAGTATTGTGTGAAGAGCCTCATTGCATGCTATGATCAAACAAGTTTACTGATTCCATCATTTTCACCTATAAGCTCCAGACGATAAGCTTTAACAAAGGCAAAAAGATACTACGAACGTTATAAAAGCTTTAGTTTACCCATGGGAACAGTGATGTAGTTGTGGCATAGTTAATGGAGCGGAATGGTTAGGAAACTTATTGTTCTATGTTTTTGTTCGTTTTTATCCATTGTTATATGACGTTGACAGTGTTTCCACTGAAACCATTCCACTCCATTAACTATGGTTGTGGTGAGGTTTCTATATATTTCCCTGACTGATCTAATGAAACTCGATGGAAAAACAAGACTGAGAAACAAATACGAGTAATCACTTTCATGCTTCACTTTCACTGTCACACAGAAGAAACTGAACAAGGTCATTGTCACTCAGTTACTCCATTAACTATGCTCACTATCTTCTGAAGCGGAAAAGTATGCAGAGATTCTTCTCATTTTGTCCTTTTTCTTGCCTTTTCTTGCTAAGTTTATGGTGCTCGATATCTTTATCAAGCTCAGGGACTTTCAAAGAGTCAAGAGTCACGAGTCGAACTCGATATATATCAACCTATTCAATACAGGTACTTTACAGCTTCAACGGATTATTAACTCATAAGCACATGCGTAATAAGTAAATTACGAGCCTTAGATGAAACGACTGAAGAAGAGTGCCATACAAGCCTTTCACAACTTCAAGTCGCGTAAAAAATGAGCCAGCTCAAGGCCCAATACAGGCCGAAACAGCTGTCCACAGTTTCTAGTTGAGCTGGCTCATTTTTTACGCGACTTGAAGTTGTGAAAGGCTTGTATGGCACTCTTCTTCAGTCGTTTCATCTAAGGCTCGTAATTTACTTATTACGCATGTTCTTATTTGATATCCGAGCCCATCCCACACGGCGCACTGCCACATCTATCTAACTCATAAGCAATAAAGACGAAGCTCAAATCAATTTTTGATGGTAAGGAAGCGAACATTGATTCAGGAAACTTAGTTCCTGACAAAACAGTTATTGAAGTTCCCGCTAAAGTCAATGATCTCGATAGTGAAGGAGAAGATGAGGATGACAGTGATACCGATGAAGAAATTGAATTGTTAAAAAAAGAAATCAAATTATTGAAGGAGGAGGTTCGCTTTATTAAGAATCTAATAACCAAGCAAGATAAATACCCCTTTCACACCTAAACATGTTTAGTTAAACTGTGTTGTCATTAGGAAAAAAATTGAGAAACTAGAAACCTACAATATAATGAAACTTTCTAAAATATTGTCAGAGCAAGACAAAGGATAGTTTAAATACCTTATTTCACCAAATATTGTGCAGTGTTCGTATATAATTTTCCAAACCTGTTTAGTTAAACCACTTTAAAACATGTTTAAGCTTGGTGTGAATTTTGTAAAAGACTCTGATTCAACCAGAAAGGTTGAAGGTTTTCAAAAGGAGAACGACAGTTTGAGGCAGATGATTAATATGCAAAAAGAAGAACTGTAACTAAGGGTGATTGGTTTACTTTCTCCTTCCTATAATCCTTTTGGGAATTACTTTGTTCCAAATCAAAGGATGGCTTACGCTGATCCAAAGAAATTTTCCGACACAATTGATCTAACTTTTAACCACAAATTTAATGCATGATGTTGTCAACGAGAAAGCTCCACGACCTAGCCTAAGTCATCCAGACCAAATTTACGATTAAAATCATTCTCAAGACTAGATGTTAGGCTTTCGCATTCAATTCCTTACGATATAAGGCAGATGTCTAAAATACTTTCAAAAACACTCAACATAAACGAGATTTTATGAGTGGTCTGAAAATGCCGTTGTTTAACATCCTTTTGCTTTCTAAAATAAGCCGGCAGGGAAAAAATTGGCATCGTGTTTTACTCGGCCAATGCCGCCGTAAAATTTTGCTTGTATGGACGTGTAGCTTGGAAATAAATCGTGAATAGATCGAGAAAGAATTTGAGTTGTTTCTTTTCACCGCAAGGTGTAAAGAGAGCAGATATGGAACCTATATTACGAGTGTTCTTTTTCTCATTCAGTAAACACCACTTATTAGTCTTTGTTATTTGCACCATTTTCCTTTCCTTTCCGTTTTCCTCAGTTTTCCTTTCCGTTTTCCTCAGTTTTCCTTTCCTTCTCATGCACTTTACTTCCCTTCTCACTTCTAAACTTTTCTTGGTTATTATTATTATTATTTTAATGTTATATTATGATATACTATACTTTGGATTGAACTGACTTTTGACATCTAGAAACATTTTTTCCAGTCGACGAACTAAAGTTAAACAACTGCCCTCAAAGCTCGGCCTTACAAAAACATAATTCAGTCTTTTTGGAAATTTATTGAGTCAACTATTCGGCATAGCTTCTGTTTATTTGATCTTCCTTTCATGAGCTTCAATATAGCAAACTGAACTACTAACGATCTGTGTTTAGCTTCTTTTTATTGTTCGAGGTTTTTCCAACCGCTATATTGCAAAAGTGTAGTCTAAARCAGACCAATTTTGAMGAAATKTACTTGAAAGCTCTTCTACTTTTGCTTTGCCTGGTGAGTTTGGATAGTGAAAAGATTTTAAAAATAACGAGTGATAATTGAAGTCGTATCAAGAGAGCATAGGTCGTATCATAGTTAATGGAGAGGAATGGTTAAGAAACCTATTGTTCTATGTTTTTGTTCGTCTTTATCCATTGTTATATGACGTTGACAGTGCACAGTGAAGGAAAGGTTTCTCCATTTGTTCACAGCATTTGTTCTAAAATATGTGTTATCTGTTAATTAATCCTATATGATTAATACTAATTGTTTATTGAAAATGAAATTGCCCTTTTCGATGCTTTCTTATTTATAATCTAGTAATTTAGCTGTATCTGCGCGGAAATATTTATCCGTATAGTTTGTGGTCATCGAATGAAAGTTTTCACTTTCAAAATGTTCATACATGAAAATAATAAGGAAATGAGTATTTTCAGCCATACTTGCTTTGGTTCATTGTGCACCCTCAGTATCACGTGATGATACGGTTCAACATCAAACGAAAAACAATAGCTTTGTATATGGAGTTTCCAAACCATTCCACTCCATTAACTATGGTTGTATCTATATTTTAGTGTCAATTGGTTCATCTTAACGTTGAGGAATGATCAGTTGTTTTAACTGAAGAATCTTTATCCCCACAAGCTTAAAGGCTCTAACTTCTATCTAATCTAATAGGCGGTAGTTAAAGGTCATTATCGTCAGCATTTAAATTTTAGCGTTACTTCGGTCCTCGTATTTTATTATACATTGTACGAAAGACCCTAACCCTATAATGTCAACACAATAGACGACTTTCAGAACTCAGTTTTTTCAGATAGAGAAAATGAAGCCTTTTTACCAGAAACTATTAATGCTATCTGAGAAAATACTTCACGAAAACTATTTCCAGAAAAWTTTGTAGAATTTGACTGCATACCAAAGAAGTTATGAAAGAACGAAAATAGAGAGTTTTGTATGCATATATCACTGGAAGCCTTGGTGGCCTTGTTTTGGTGCATTTTCAAAACTTCAAATACTCACATCTTGTAAAGGATTTAATGATTTTAGTAGAAACTCACACACCTTATCTAAATCAACCAGATCAATGATTTAAAAGGGTTTTCACTCCAAAAACATTGATTTTTAATGTTTATGCAAATTAGCAGCAGCCAGTTATGAAAGTCGTGTATTAGCATGCAAAAAAGCTAACGAAAAGGATTCTAGTGATTTAGGCATGAATAAGAACTCAGTTTTTGCAATTTGAAAAACGCGGCCGACATTCAGACAACCACTTTCTACGAGACTTTCTAAAAAAACTTAGACTTCGGCTGTGTCACGATAGTTACACGATACCGGACGAACATTTAACCCGTCACTAAAGGTTGAACGTTAAGGGGTTCCATTCACACGGGACTAAGCTATCGGAACAAAGATCGTACACCTAGCCGTGCAAATTTGGATCCGTATTTTTTATACTACAATTAAAGAGAAGGTTCCGTGTAAACGGCATGTGATAAAAATTTGTCCGGCCAACCGTGTAAACGCAGTATTCAAAAGAGTATTCGGATCTTGGATTAACCCTTTTTAGTTTAATTTTGACACGGTTTTCATTCTCATTGGTAGGATTTATAAACATATTTCCCCCTCACTACGACTAGAATTCAAGGGCTTTATCTGAATAAATTAAGATTTAACTGATTTTAATTGATATTAAGGTTGGTGCCTACTATTGTCAGCGCGCACACTTACTGCGCATCTGCATCGAGGGATTCCCGCGGGTTTCAAAAGCAAAACACTGAAAGGTACAGAACGTCGGCCATGGAAAAAATTAAGACCAAGAACAACAGCAATAACTATTATTTATGTAGTCAAAGGTGTATCACAGAGTAATTTTCAAGAATTCAGGTGTTTTTTGGCGAAAAATTATATTTTTTTACTTTCTAGAAAAGGCAGTTTCGATGGCCTCGGATCGGTGAATAATAAAATAACTTTTTTATTCAAAAACGTTCACGCAAAGAGCATACTGACAAAGAAAATTATTATTTTGATTTATTAAATCTGTCTCTTGCACTTGTGAAGTTAAACTAAATGTAGGTTTGTATTTTACGAAAGTTTTTGCCTGGTTCTTGCTTTGCATGCACGACTGCCGTGAAACATTCATGAAAAGCCGTTCTTTTTCCGACTTCAAAAAAAATTTACGTGCCATTTGCTTAAGGAAATCTTTTCTTCTACACAGGAAATGATTATTTATTATTGTTCTTCGAATTGAATAAGTTTTCTGGTACTTTGAAGGCTTGAAATATCCCTTTTTTCAGTTTTCCTCCTGTTTGTAAAACCACGAAGAGATGAAGGAGCTGCTGCAAACACGCCAAAAACAGAGCGAGTCAGGCTGTTTCGTAACGCCGCGTCACGCTTGTCGCGCTTTTAGCGCCCGATTTATCCTCAACATTTTTTTTTTTAAATCATAACTTTCTAAAACGCATGGGTACCCCCCATTTTTTTCGTCCAAAATGTAACAGAAATAGTTAAATTATTTTTTATAATAGAATTTTTAAAATAGAAAATGTAAAAATGGTTTTGGATGCAAATGTAAGCAAAAATGTAGCATCCCTTTAGAACCATATTTTACACTTTTGAAGGCAAAATTTGGTTAAGAAAATGGTTTCTTATATGATACATAAAAGTTTATATATTTGATATAAAGAGCACAAATAGTCGTTTATTTGAAACAAGTTTCAGATAAAATCGATCAAAACAACTTCGTAATATGATTTTTTCCCCTTGCGTAAAAAAGTGCTTACGTCATCGGTGTTTAACACCAATTATCTCGTTTAGATGCGTGGATACCTCCAATTTTATTCCGGATTCCAGTGGCCTCTTGGATGATTTAAATGACTTGCACAATTTGAAAAAAATAAAAATGGTTCGCAATTAGTAGGCACCAACATTAAAGTGTTAATTTTTGTTATGTTTTTCTATGTGTTTAATTGAATCATTGTCATATGTTTATAATATTATAACAAAAATATTCTAAAAAATTTTAAAAACAAAGTTGAATTATCTTATTTAAAAAACTGTAAAGCGTTATTGAACTGGCGGATACTAACGCTATAGAAATTTTGAATTATTATTATCATTATTATCATCATCATCATTACTATTATTATTATTATTAACTAATTTGATTTCGTTTCACGGATATAGTGACTCGTTTCACGGCTGTATCGATATAAAAGCACTTTGAAAAGATCAATTAAAGTGCTACTACGACGAAAATCGCTCAAACTTGGATTCAGCTGAAACTTCCTAAAAATACTCTTTAAAGGTCCAATAATCACTGTATGAAGTGTTTTCTCGATATTCAGGACGAAAGTATGATATTTTTACGATTATTTTTTGGAGTCTGTGACGTCATACACTCAACATCGAACATCGCTCCATACATTTCTTTGTAGTTTATGATCAAAATATCAGTAGTAAAGGAAGAAAGAAATACCCAAACACCCCAAAATATAAATTATAGTCACAAGTAATGTGAAATAAGCACATTAGCCACCCTTTGGGCTTCATAGGAATAAAATAAATTAAGGATTTATATACAAAGAAATATATGTAGCAATGTTTGATGTTGAGTGTATGACGTCACAGACTCCAAAAAATAATCGTAAAAATATCATACTTTCGTCCTGAATATCGAGAAAACACTTCATACAGTGATTATTGGACCTTTAAAGAGTATTCTTAGGAAGTTTCAGCTGAATCCAAGTTTGAGCGATTTTCTTCGTAGTAGCACTTTAAAGGGTTTTACTAATAGTAAAAGGATTTAAACATCAAACCTTAGTCTCGATCAAAAAAAAGGACATCGCATGGTAGCAGCCGAACAGAACTAGAATAGCGGATACTAGTTCTCAGTCTCCCTCCGCATTACACGTCGAGTAAGACAGTGACTAGTCGTTTTTCCGCCCTACATAATGAGTGCTCTGCTAGAGGTTGAGCACCACCGCTCGATTCCCTTGAGTACCTGATAAACATTAAATGACAAATGTTTTTGCATAAACCATTTATCTGATTTTATTTGAACTTTTTTCTTCAATAGTTTGTTGCAAATATATCTTCTTTGCCTCAACATGAAGACGAGGCGCTAGATGAAATCCTGCCAATGTCTCCTAATTTAGAAACAAAGAAGAAAGATGCCATTTTTGTTGATGAAGATTTGAAGCCTGTGAAGTTGTCCCAAAAAAAACAGGCATTTTGCTGGCTGGTAAGATGCTAAATTTACACTTGTTCAGGGGCAGCTCGTTGGGATACACATTGTCAGCTGTCATAATGAAGTTTTACAAGGATGCGCGTCAAGCATTCCAAAGTATGGAAGGAGATTGTGTGCGCCAGTAAAGGTCACCTTCCCAGATGGAAATGCCTACCCAGTAAGCTGTAAATGTAAGGCGTAAATAAAAAACGAGAGCAAATTAAAACTGTAGGTCCGTTTGTTTTGTTTTTTGTTTTTTTTGAAGGAAAGGTCGAAATAGAACAAAGTAGAATGTGAGCGGTCCTGCGAGTGTTTTGGGATTCCTGTGGACGCGCGTTGATTGGAGACGTTCCAATCTCCGTGAGCGTCCACAGGAATCCCAAAACACTCACTTTTACTGGGTCTAGAGGGAAACGTGGGGTCGCTCGCAGTTTAAGAACAAAGTTACTTTAGAAATTCACAAGGGGGTTGAAGAGTGTAACACTATAACCAGGATCAGGAAGGGGGGTACAGATCCCGAATCACGCGCTATTTTCCCCAAAATTGGGCGTAATAATTTCCCATTTCAGACAAAGTTCATTCCTTTGAGAATAAGATTCTTTGTTTGAGTTGTATCCATATTCGTGTGTCTTCTCATGTACAACCGTTAAACAAAGAACTGAAAGAATTAATTGATACTCTAGGGTATGACACGTGATCTGAAATGGGAAAGCATTACGCCCGAGCCGGGTACTTATACAGTCAATTAAAAAAACGTTGTCGTCGACCGGCTCAAGCCTATTACGTGACTGGACCGAAAGGAATATTGGTAAAAGTCACTGAAGCGGTTAAATATTCGTTCTGAATTAATYGTTCCCGCTAGTAATAAGATAATATTGGCGAGAAACAATCCATCAAATGCATGTCTTCGGGTTTAGGGAAASAAAAACAAAGTAGTTATGATTCAGTTCACAATTCCGAAAATATGAAGGCATTAAAAAAAAAGTCTCCTTCAACACTTCCCGCTCGCCTACGAAGGTTCGTGCTGTAAACCAGGCATAACTAGTCAGATAAAATTATGGGGTCAACTCGATGATTGCTACCCAGAGTTACTTTCGGTCCAGTCACGTAGGCTTGAGTTGATCAACGCGACGATTTTTACTGTATTAGTACGCATGCAAAATGATTTATATTATTAGCTTTGGTTGCAGAGATATCGTTAATACTTTAAAATTTATCATAGAGCTTTCAAATTTTATTTATTAATGTTTTCATGTTTTCCCCGAAAATCAGCCAACTGGTTTGCCTCCTTGCCAGTTGGAATTCTTAAAACACTTTATTATGTTTATTTGATCTTTCATTTCAGTTTATTGCTGGGATACCTGTGGTATGCCAGCTATAAAATGCCTTTGTTTTTTTTTCTGATTTCTGCTCCACAAATTGAACAAGTTGCGCAATAGTACCCAGGGGTCTTCAGGAACTTACCCAAGAGACTTTTGTAGGTATCTGCTATAGGGTTCCCGTGTATTAGTCCAATCAATTATCATGTACCAGATGTCAATCAATGCCACTATGTTGTCAAGTGATTATGCAAGGGCAGAGCTAGCAGATCACGTGACAAAAGTTTGTGTCTACGCATGCTCTATTTCGTTGACTGCTGTAATTCAAGACAGCCAAACTAGAAATATTGATTTATCAATTTCGTAAAGAAGGGTATGATTTCAAGCTGAGAAGATGGCGAAGATTTCGAAGCGATTATTTCTAAGGATTTTCAATGAACTTCATGAGCAATAGCTTGCTTTGGTTAACTCTTCAAGAACCATCTTCTCGAGCAGTATTTGCTGCACGAACAAGCGAAGATCGATAAGGAGAACAGGGTTTCAAGATAAGCGAAAGTATTAAACAAATTCATTCAGCGTGACTCGTCATTCTCTTGAGCTTGACAATATAGATATTCTTATAGCCTATATTTATGTACTTATATTAACTGTTTTGGCTTCAAAGTCTACTCACTAATGAACATGAGGTACGTAGCAATATTTATTTTAAGCAAAAGAAATAAATAAATAACTTGCTACACACATTCCAGGGGTTGACCTTTGCTGTTCGAAGCGTCATGATCTCCTTTTTTTTTTCTTCAAAAAGATGGTGATTCATTAAAAATATCGATAAATTATAAAATCATAAAATGCAAATAAATTATGAGAGAGGTTTTGAGAAAATATTAGCCCGTATTTGCGTTTTAAATGAAGCATTTTGATTTTAAAACGAGCTATATACAATTTTCGTGCGAATGTGCACGTTCAAAATCAGGACCGGAACTGGAATTGGAGTTCCAGATTGAGTTTTTCGATGACTTTGATGAGTAAGGTTTGTTTTGATTTTTCCTTTCTGAGAAAGTGTTCACAAATAAATTCTGTATAGTTTTACTGTGCATTGCTGATCGACTCAATTCAGAACGCCCACTTATTTATTTCATCAAAAACATCAATAAATCGCAACACAGCGACCCCAAAAATGTAAATATCTAACATTACTTCTCTAAATGTGCAACCTTTCCAGCAATCACATCACATATTTC